TACAATTATAAGATAGAGATAATAAATATAATAATGAAAGTAAATATAACTATGAAAATAAATATATTAAATAAAATGGTGATAAACATAATAATAAATAAAATAAAGAAAATGAATATTACAACGATAACCGTGATAGCAATGAAATTAGTGAAAATGATGATCATGATTTTTCTGGTGATCATTGGTGACATTAGTTGGCACAGTCATCTAGTGACACAAACGGATTATCACTAATATCGATTTGATAGTTGAAGGCATACTTCTATTATAAAAGTAAAAAAATCAGAAAAATTAACTAAAATTCAACTTAAGTTTCATCTAATTTGATATGTTTCTATTATAAAAAATAAAAAAAAATCAGTTGTTTTTTTGTATATTTTTTGAAAAATTCAACTTAATTTCATCCAATTTGATAGTTGGAGGCATATTTCTATTATAAAAAGTAAAAAAAATCAGTTTATTTTTAAAAAGCTGACTTAAATACAATTTTTATTTCATTCGATTTTGATAGCTGAAGGTGAAAATTGATTAAAATTCAACTTAAAATCTTTTTGTTCTTGAGATGATTTTTTTTTCAGTGTTTTGGTAGAATGTAAAAGAGAAAATTTGGAAGTGATTGAAATTATTTTTTAAAAAGTTAAAAAATTAAGCTTATTTATATAAATGTTCTTATATATTAGAAATAAACTCAAATAATATATATGATTTTAGCAAATTGGTTTAATCTGAAAGTTCAGTTTATTAGAATAATAATACTATCATTTCTTAAGAATGATAAAACTATCATACCTTAGGTATAATAAAACTATTATTCCTAAAAAACGATAAAATAATCATTCCTTAAGAATGATAAAACTATCATTCCTTAGGTATGATAATACAATTATCCCTAAGGAATGATAAAATTATCATCTCTAAGGAATAATAAAATCATCATACTTAAGATACAATAAATGTATTATTCCTTAAGAATGATAATACTATTATCTCTAAAAAATAATAAAATAATCATTCCTTAAGAATGATAAATGTATTGTATCTTAAGAACGATAATACCATCATTTCTAAAGTACAATAAAATCATCATTTCTTAGAAATGATAATACCATCATTCCTTAAGTACAATAATACAATCGTTCTTAAAGAATGATAAAACTATTATTTCTAAGGAATGATAAATATATTGTTCCTTATGAACGATAAAATTATCATACTTAAGATATGATAAATACATTATTCCTTAGGAATGATAATATATTATTGTTCCTTAGGTATAATAATACAATCGTTTCAATTGAACATCAATCAGCTATAATAAGATAGTCAAATTTTGGCTGATTCTTAGCCAATTTCTGATGTATGTCAATCAGCTAGGCTGATTTTTGATAATTTACTGAATTTAGGCTGATTTTAGGCTGATTTTTGCATGTCTGATTTTTTTGATTTTGACCAGTATTTTTTCAATTGTTGGAAGAAGTAATTATGCTCAATCTATAATACATTTTCTTTCTTTATCAAAGGTGATATTATTTAAAATACTTTTGGATCATATATGTTAAATTAATTTGATTCATCCTAGATATTAGTTCGTATTTAACAAAGCTTTAGAAACTTTTGGAGTAAAGTATATTAAACAAAATATTAGAAGGGTTTTGGAAAAACAGGAAGATTTAAAATCAAGAATTTCTTTTATTCAATCTGAATGAGAAAGAATTAACTTGTTATTAAGCAAATATGTTGGTCTTATACAAAATGATCATAATATGAAATTAAGAAAAGAAGTAATGTGAAAATTAATAGATGAATTATAAGTAGCTTTTATTAATTAAAATTTATCTGATAACAATTTGTTTAAGAGAACTTTAAAAAATAATAAGCAGAATTTTAAAAAACTTTTTGAATACTATGTTTTAGTTTTTTTTATTCAAATAAATAAATATTTTTAAAGAAACAAATTTTAACAGAATTTTAGAATACAAAGTTAAATTGTTTGATTATTTCGATATCAAAAATGTGAAGAAAGTTATTAAAATATTTTTATAATTAAAGAAGACAATGTTAAAATGCTAAGTGTTAAATAAAAAAAAAATATTAGAAAAATTGTTATTGGTTATCTCTGATCTAAGATTTTGATTTCCTGTAAGAACATATTGAATAGATCAAAAATTTTCAGCAAAACTTACAAGTCTTTCTAGATTTATAACAGTCAAACAATTGGCAAATCTTTTTTTGATGGCCAATGCACAATTTGGGTGTTTTCAAAGGCCTGATCAAGGTTTTAGATCAGTTTACTAAGATAAAAAATATTAGTTTGTTATTAGAAAACAAAAAAAAAAAAATAATCATAAATTATTTCATTAGAATTTACCTTCGATTAAAGTTATTGATTCTAGATCGGTTTTACAAAGTTAAGTTAATGTTTAGTTTTATTTTGTAATAAAAATATATATACTAACAAATTTCTTTAATTATTTCAGATTCAAGATTCAAGGATCCACAAAATTTTTTTTTTTTTTTTTATAGATTAAAAAACTAACAAAAATTTTTCACTCCATTAGACTACCCATTTAAGGATTAGAAACAGTTTACAAATGCAAGTAGTGTGTTATTATTATTTTTTTATTAACAATAAATAACAATAAAATAATTAATAAATTACCTTAAAACTTTCCTTTGATTCAACTTCAAGATTTCTGGACGTCCTATAAAGAAATAGTTTTTTAAAAATCAAAATAATAAACTAACAATTTTATTCATTAGGGCTTACCTACGATCTGATTCTAATCTAAAACTTCAAGGATCTGAAACGTTTTAAAAAGATAAGTGCGTTTTTTTTAATTATTATAAATAAAAAAATAACAAAATATTCCACTCCATTAAGACTTACCTCCAATCATAACTTCCGGATCCGTAAGTAGTGTGAATTTTTTTTTTAAAAAAAAAAAAAATATATAGAATTTATTAACGAATTTATACAATTATACTTGCCTTCGATCGGTTCCAGTGTTTCAAAGTTCCAGACCGTCCTATCAACGTAAATTTAGTATTAGATAATTTTATTTCAAATAAAAAAAAATTTAACTAATGAATGACTTTACCTGTGATGCAAGATTTCAAGGTTCAGGACTTTCAGTTTGACGTTCTAAAAAATAAAGTTACTAAAATGCAATAGCTAGTTCGGAGTAAAAAATCAAAAAAAAATTAAAGATTTTCATCGGATTCATCGGATATCTTATCATCAATCCGTAATCTGTCTTTTCGATGGATGGCTATAGAAGTGATAGAAACAAAATTAGCTGTAGAGATTTTTCGTAAATTTAGGAGAAAAGAAATAATATGAAGCAGGTACTCGCATTATATGACCTAGGATCCGCGTAATCCCTCCCTTTAAAGCATTTCATAAATTTCGTTTTATATTTATCACTTAGCTGCCTTTTTCTCTTAATAATAAAGTTTCTCAGATTGGATTTCTAAAGTTATGTGCTACTATGTATGATTTGGACGATAACTACCAAGAAATAACTTGGATATTCACTGATACATAACTTCACCGCCGCAGAACTGGCCGACATGAAGCATGGCTTTCTCCTAAATATCTAGAGATACAAGGGAAGCTCTCGCCGCCGCAGAACTGGCCGACACAAGAAACTTCAGCAAAATCAATGAATCAACTGTCACCGCCGCTGGACTGGCCGACGCGATCAGCTGTTAGTTAGTAACTCATAACTTCACCGCCGCAGAACTGGCCGACATGAAGCATGGCTTCTCCTAAATATCCAGAGATACAAGGGAAGCTCTCGCCGCCGCTGAACTGGCCGACACGAGAAGCTTCAGCATAGTTACGCTCCTTCATCACAATAGTAGCTTTTTTTTCTGTCCCGTGCATGTCCTTACTTTGTCTGTATTCTTCTGCAACTTACAGTATAAAAAATGTGTAACTAGTATTAGCACTGTTTTCTCGTGTCACCTGTCCAGTATCGCCATAAAAATTTCACCCCACGTGATCATAGTAAAATATTTGTCATCCTGCGTCACACCCCTCAAATTTTCATTTTTACTATGTATTCTGGGAGTGAACTCCTATTTGTCACAAATATTTGTCACGCTGTTAATTTCTTAATGCCGTAATGCCGGCCAAAAGTCACGTGGATGAAATTTTTATGGTAAAATCTGTCCCGGACATTGTCCCGTGACAACGCTGCAATAGGCTAATAATATTGGCTGATGATGTGTAACTTGATCAGTGACTCGTCCTGTAATTTTATTTAACGCACGTCACTTTACACCTAATTAAACTTTAATAAATCTCTTCTTCATTTAGATAACAATTCCTCTCTAAACTTTCTATATCATTTCTCGGTTCACTGAAAATATCTATTCTCGAATAATGACTGCTACGTTAAGATCAAAAATTTACAACCGCTTTTTGGCACCTGATGAATTAAATGTTAACGATTATTTTAAGAAGGTTGGTGCCCAGGATTGGAGGCTAAAAAGTTACCTAAACTATCGTTTAGAAACTGAGAACATAACTCCAACCTGGACCGATGTATTAAATGGCTGGAAAGATTCACTCGAAGCTATGATAAATACCAATCATATAAGAGTTCCGAACAGTGTAAAGCATTTTTGTAAAGAATTATTAAACTTCAATACTTTTGAAGGAGAAACTGTCCTTGAACGATGTATGAAATGGTACAACAATTTTTATGAACGTTATTGTGATCTGCAACTTGCTGAGAGGGTCTAGCACATTGAGGAAAAAATATATTCGTCTCAAAAATTGTCAGAGATGTTACAAGGAACAGAAAATAAAAAGAGGCCGCAGGATGACACCAATGACAACGAGGCAGGCCCATCAAATGAAAAGCGTAGTCGGCAGGTGCATGAATTTAATACATTGTTTGACATGATATTGAATATCGACTCCACTTTATTTCTAAATCACCTTTATTATATTACTAGGATTCATCATGTGAAGGAGCATATCAAGATGATGTTGAATATCTATTCGAGGTATGAGATTAGTTTCATTTTATTTTTAGCACAAAAACGAGTTATTCAAATTGATTCACGAACCTTTTAGATGTATGCACGGGATGAAGAAGAGATAAAAGCGATGGATGTTAGGTAAGAATTAAATACATATAACCACAATAATATACAGTATGTAGTTTGTAATAACGCTATCACATTCTCATTTAAGTTCGGTTGAATGGGAATTCAACTATCCAATTCATGATTGGTTGAACAAAGTAATCAATGAACAAAAAACAATGATGTCACAATAGGCTCGAATATTGCTTCAAAGTAAGTGATCAATAACAAGCTATTGATTTGATATATTAAAATAAGTAAAGCTAACTTATTACTTATGCAGGCCACTTTTATGGCGAATAATTGACCTATCCTATTCTGAGGTTGCTCCCTCAACATTATCCCAAAATGATCAGGAAAATGTTCGCAAATTAATCTCATCTGCCCTATGGATAGGACAACCCAATGAGTGGACAGTGTTAGTGCCGCCAGCAGAAAGATGTTTAGGATCGTTAGCGAAGGTACACCGGAATTTACAAGAAATTCCTGTGTAATTTTTCATCATTGTTTACCTTTGACCTTTAGTTGACGACAAAGCAACTGAAAAAGATCGCAAAAACTGTTAAACCAAATGGGATCCATGGTTCGGTTCTTGAGATCAGAAATATTCTCACGTCCAGCGAAGTTGAAGAGTCAAATCCTTTTCTAATTGTTGAAAATAAGGATGAAAGCAATAAAAATCTTATACGAGAAGAAGATCACCTAAATAAAGATGTATCATACATCCTCGAATTACTCCGCTACACGTAAGTATAATTTAAATCCTTGCGATAACGGACGCCTCAATTAAACTGACTTATACACCCTTCCTTGTTATAGTTATGAGATGATTGATATTGGAATTCCTCAACGTCATAATTCTGAAAGAGATATTGACGTTTTTATTAAATCAACTATATTCTCTTGCTTTAACGGCATTGTGGATAGGCACTTGTAGGTTTGGTATTTTCTTAATTTGAGTCGTCATAATCAACACTAATGATTCTTTCTGTAGTGGAGAAACTGTGTCTCGAGCTTCACGTGATCGGCGAAGGAAGGCGATAGATGCTTCTTCAGATGTGGAAGGTTACCACATTGATTGGTTGTTTACGGTATGCATACTGAAAGTTTTGAGGATTTTTATTTTTATGGATATTAATAAAAAGTTCATTCACAGCGTCATGACCTTGCAAAGGATATGACATGGGGTCGCGAGTTTTCTTTATGCGAACGTGCTGGATCAAGAATCGAAAATCACAAGAAGATTCTAGATAATACTCTTAAAGTTCAAAAAACACTCAAAGATATGCACAAGACTCTTATTGATACAATTGTCATGACAAGTGGTGGAACAATTTCGAAGGAAGTTCTCGATGTTATTCCAAAAATGCTCATGCCTGGATTTTTGTCATCAAGATTTTTCATCCGTATGATTCTCATAATGTATGTTGGTGCTGGGTTCTACCTCTCAGCCGAGCTTGCGGAATTTGATATCCCGACGGCTTATGAAGAACTTGAGGGAGTTTTGAAAATGGCGCGCGTCATGCTACAAGCCAAGGTAAGTCAATAGTTTCTAATTTTTGCTTTTTGCTTAACTTGTACTTATATTAATTCTTTGTTACAGAGAATGTTATTCTCCACGGTTACACTTTTCGCTTCAACAAAGGAACGTGCAGAAAGGGAGAAGTTTTTACTGGGAAAGGTGCTATTACCAGACCGACCAAAGGAATGTTCATCGCCAATGAAGTCCAAAAACAAAAAGTGCCGATAAAAAATTAATTATGAGAGGATGTAGTGTGTAAGATAAAGAGAATATTTGTGGGTGATAAAATAATAAGTTATTTTATGTAAGCCAGAAGTTTATTTTCAACAAATTATATAGGAAATCTGTTATTTGATGGGGAGGTATTATCTATTTTATTTACGTAGGCATTTTAATAATTTTTTTTATGGAATTTAATAAAATAATGAATGATTGAATAAAGTTTAATTATTAAATAGAGAACGAAATTATTTTGTTTTATCTAGTAAATTCAACTGAGATTTAAGTTCATAAATTATAACATTATTTATTTCTTTGATCTATTTAAATTTGATAAAAAAAAAAATTTTTTTTCTGTCAAGGCCAGTAGGATAAAATTCTAATATTAATTTAAGGCGAAAAATTTAATTTACTAACTATAGGGGGAAATTTATTGGTTTGTAACACAACTTATTGTACAAAATAGACCTCACCTCAGAGTAACTTTCCCGAAATGACCGGCATTAAAATTTCCTCTTTGCTTTACGATTTTGTTTATTATTGATGTGATCATGAAAATTTTTGTAATAAAAGAAATTGTTAAAATTACTGAAGGAATTAAAGTTTACATAATTTTCAAATGATTAGAGTACTAGTAAAATTAACAGTACTCACATGATACTATTAATTGGTTTTTATTTTCAAGTACTTCATTCGTAATGAATTAAATTTACACTAAAATTAATAGAACATACGCAATAACTGATTTTAAAATTTACGTTGACCTAAATAAGCGGTATGAAATTATACGACCTCAAAAATTTCCAAATAAAAGAGTTTGTGTAAACTGCAAATAAGAATGTTTCGCAATTACATATTGTTAGCAAAGTATTCGAAGTTATCTAAAGCAAACTATCAGAATAGACACTTGGAAATAATAAATTGATATTTTGAAACATTATTTTCAGTTGGAAGCGGTTCTTCTATTTAGAATAGTTAATCCATACGATAATATACAAAATATTGAATATTTAACTAAAGGTTGGTTGTTCTGAAATTTATAAAGCAGTTTGGATTATTAGACTATGATAAATGCGATACAATCAAACAAAAATTAATAATGATAAAGATAATACTCAAAGTATTAGAAAAAATTTTGAAATGTAATAGAATCTGCTTCAAATGGTATGTAATTTAAAAGTAATAATAAGGATTAATAATTGAGGTTTTTTAAATAAAAGAAAGATAAAAAATTGATTATTTTAATTCTGTTTTATAGGCTAAATCTCAATTAACATAAAGCAGTAAATAGAAAGATTTTGTTCAAACTTATGGTTATGGTATTACTCAGGACCCATTAAATAAAGATTTTTTCTTTATTTAATATTATATTTAAGAACTTATTTACGGCAAAGTCGTAATCAATTTACATGGAAACAACAAATTAATACTTGTAATTTTATATTTGTGTTTTATATTTGCTTAACTTATTACGATAATTATTTAAAAAATGGTTTAGTAAATAAAGTGTTTATTTTAATTTTATTGCTATTGGATTACAAATTATTGTAATATATATATATATATATATAAGAATAATTAATAATTTTAAGATGATTCGTAGTTTATTATTTAATTAAAAAAGAATAATAATACAATTATAAGTATAAAAAATAAAAATACTATATAACGTAATTTTTTTGATTTTTAAAAGAAACAGATAAAATATTTCAAAAACAAAAACTATATAAATATAATAATGAAAGTTTTCACGTATTTTATGTAAATAAACAAATGATTTTCATTTTAGAAAATTAATTTAAAGACTAAGTTATAAATTACCTCTAAAAAATCTATATTTTCTTTAATAGAAATTAAGTAAATAGTGCTATAATTGCTCGTTTATAACTTACCAATACATATCATCTTAAGTACTTACTGTCCATAAATGTTTGAATGTCACCCTTAATCCCAATAAAGTTACAATATAAGTGATAAATACGAAGTCTTGTCTTTAATTTTATTAAAGTATCAATATTTCATCCAGTATATTATCCAGAAATTTTAAGTAAAATTGTACAGTTAGTTTTTATTTATTAAATAAGTTTCATTTTTTGTCTCGTTTTTAAGGAAAAAAAAAAAATTCTAAAATGTTATTTTAAATGATATTCTAACCAATTTTGGAATTACTAAAAAAGGAAGTTAATTTGCTTAGACCTGATCAAATTCGGATGCTCCGATGTACGGTATAAAATATATTACATATAAAAGAATGCTTATAAGAAGTTTATTAAATGTTTTCGCCATGTTTTGTACGACATAAAATTTAATGATTAAAACGTTCGTGCGCATATCTAGACGAGAAATCAAACTTATTATCGTAATATTGTTTCCTCATTTTCCCAAACTTGTTAATAATGTCAAAGAAAAGGAATATAAAATTTTGTTTGTTTATGGAAAATACAAAGGAAAGAAGTGTCAAAGAAAATTTGATGCATAGTAGTTCTACTTTATTTACTTTTCACGCATTCAAGTTTCCTTTTTTAGATCATCTAAGTTTATACGTTTTTTTTTTCTTTTTCAAGCTTTTACGAGATTTATACGTACCACGATTTTGCTTATACAACGTAAATTCATAACTTGTTTGTGTAAACGATCAATACAACTTGTTATAATCATCCTAAAAAAAAAACATTAACAGATTCAAGGATTTGCAAATCCAAAATAATTTTCTTTAAATAAAATATTTGAAAATTAAAGTTGTGCTTTTTCATTTTAAATTGCAATTACTTTGCAAATTCGGTGGAATAACAAAGACTATAAAAACTGTACGGTTATTATAAATAACTAAAATAAAATGACTAGAATAAAATAACTAAAATAAATAAATAAATTTAGAAAAAACAATAAACAAAAATCGCGACGCGATATAAAAAAACAAATATATCCCCGAGATCCTTATTTTAATTAATTTTTTTTTATTTTCACTTTATTCTTTTTTATTTTATTTTATTTTTAAAAAAAAAACAAACAAGAACGAAGAACGAAAAATGAAAAACGAAAAAGAAAAAAAAAAGGAAAAAAAAGAAAAGGAAAGGAAAGGAAAGAAAAAAAAAGAAAAACTAACGAAACGAAAATACCAAAGAAGCAAAGAACCAAAGAACCCAAAAATGAAAGAATCAATTAACCAAAGAACCAAGAAGCAAAGACCAAAGAACCCAAGAAGCAAAGGACCAAAGAACCCAAGAACGAAAAACCAAAGAAGCAAAAAACCTAAGAGCGAAAAAAGCAAAGAACGAAATACCAAAGAAACAAAGAAACAAAGAACCCAAGAACCACCAACGAAAATAGTAAAGAACCACCAACAAAAGGATCAATGAACCACCAACGAAAGGACCAAAGAACCACCAACGAAAGGATCAAAGAATCACCAATGAAAGTACCAACAAAAGTACCAAAGAACTACCAACAAACCACTGACGAAAGGATCAAAGAACCACCAACGAAAGGACCAAAGAACCACCAAAACCACCAAAGAAACCACCAATGAACCACCAACGAACTACCAACGAACCACTAACGAAAATATCAAAGTACCACCAAAGAACCACTAACGAAAGTACCAAAGAACCACCAACGAACCACCAAAGAATGGACCAAAGAACCACCAAAACCACCAATGAAACCACCAAAGAATCACCAACGAAAGTACCAAAAAACACCAAAGAACCATCAAACAATGATCAACGAAAGGACCAAAGAACCACCAAAGAATGAAAAAAAGATATATTAAACAAACTAAAAAAAATAAAATAAATAAATTAACAAAAATTAGATTAAAAAGAGATTAAAAATTAAAAAAAATCTAAAAAAATATGAAAAAAATACCGTGGGAATTTAAAAAAAAAATGCCGGTGGGGTATAAAAAATAATATATATGAAAATATACAAATAAAAAAATATAAAAAAAATAATAATTATAAATAATTTTAAAAAAAAGAGAACTGGAGGGGAATATAAAAAAGGAGGGAGGAAGAAAATAAAATAATAAAATAATTAAAAAAAAATTTTTGAAATTAAAAAAAAAACATAAAAAATAATTATTAAATAAAAAAAACCTGAGGGGAGGAGTAAAAAAAAGAAAATAAATAAAAAAGCAAAAATACTTACGATATGCCGTGACGAAATTTGAACGCGAATATCTCGACATCCACCAGTCCGCTACCTTTTTAACTTGATATGCAGATTCGGTAGGTACTGCTCTTTTATACAAGACCAAAAACGTCCAAATCCAATCACTCAATCCTGAGATATTTGATAATAACTGAAAGCAATTATTTTGAGATTCATCACGGAAGTATCTCAAGCAGGTGTGAATACCAGAATCGAAGCAAAAGGAACAGTCCGAAAATTAATGATGTCAAACACTAATTTCACCATCTGAGATCCTAAAGGAAGTGAGAAACTGTATGTTAATATGTAAGAAAATGAAATAGCTTTGAGAGTTGGTAAAAAAACAAAAAAAAACTATTTGCCGTGATGACATTTGAACGCGAATATCTCAACATCCACCAGTCCGCTTCATACCAAATTTAACTAGCAGCTTCGGAATGTTCTGTGCTTTCAAACAAGCTCAAATACAATTACTCAATCCAGAGATATTTGAGAATAACTGAAAGCAATTATTTTGAGGTTCATCACGGAAGAAATTCAAGCAAGTGTGAATACCTAAACTGAAGCAAAAGGAGCTATCTGAAAAGTAATGATACTTAATATTAATTTCAACATCTGGGAATCTAAAGGAAGTGAGAAAATTGTATGTAAATATGTAAGAAAATAGGATTAACAATGTGTGTTCAAAATAAATTATTTAAACTACAAATTCTTGAAATTTTGAAATGAAGCAATCATATGATCTAAAAATCATAGAAATACCAATTAAGACAACCAGATACAACCCTAAGTGACCTTCAAAACAATCCAATATTTATCAAATTGGATCATTGGAAACTGAAATAGCTTTGTAAGTTGGCAAGATCTTGAGCAGATTTAAAGTTAATTTTAGAGAAGTATTTATAAGCAAATTTTGAATTAATTTTCTGGTGATGCCAAGGACGTTTACCTATAGGAGATGAAAATATTGTCCATTGTTATGTAAAAATATGAAGTTATCTATAGAGTATTAAAATGCTTATAATTTTAATTATAACCAAATCATAACCAGATTATAACACAAACTATATACTAACATAATATGAATATAATCTGAATTTAACCCAATTCACCTTAACCCAATCTTAATTTAATAAATACCAATTTAACTACAACCCAATCCAATCATAATCTGATTTTAACCCAAATCAACTCTAATTTTCATCCAACTCAACCAAACGAAGCCTAACTTAACTTAGAATTTGTTAAAACTTCACCCTTTTTTCATCGCGAAGTGACCCCGGGCCATCGCCCGGGTAGAATTGCCAGTAATTAAATAAAAAGGAGATCGCAGCAATATATAGATCAATAATTGGTTTATAATATTTTTATGAATCTTCAATCATTCAGTAATTAATGTTTTAAATAGTTATCGTGAAAGAATTTTAAATGGTGAAAGTGTAAGGAAAAAAGATTATATTGATAATTCAGTTTAGTAAATGAATTATTACCGCTTATTCTTACGATAGTCTAATTTTTTAAGTTTGAAGGTAATAACAATTTTAAGCTAATTAAAAATAAAGAGTTTTGTAAATAAATCAATAAATTATCTCGTGATCATCAGTAAAGGATGGTCGAAAATCAGACACGTTAAATGTTCGAAATGTAGTATGAACGTTTTACTTTACATTTTTTTTATTTTCATTTTTTTCTTTGAAAAATTCCGATATTGGACTGTTTAAATAAAGAGTTTTGTAAATAAATCAATAAATTATTTCGTGATCATCAGTAAAGGAACGTTTTACTTTTACATTTTTGAAAAATTCCGATATTGGACTGTTTCGAGATCGACTTTTCCGAGATCGACAAGAATTAAATGTTTGATGATGTTGATAGTTAAAAAATAAATAAATAAAAAGAATTAGTTTAGAAATGGTTTAAATCATGTGGTCTTCCCTGATTTTTCCAAAGGTAATATACAGTATATAAGGTACCTGATTTTTCGACAAGGGGGAAAAAAAAAAGACATTGCAATCATGAAAAAAACGTTATTATACATTCTATTACATTTTTCATCGGCAGTACTTGCTGAATGGATCACCGTAGAACATGATTTTAATATGTGCGACCAGGTCGTACCTTCTGATTATGCGGCGGTTCACATTAACGATGATGGCGCTGCTTATTCGACGTCCTTTTTGGTCAGAAAAGTTCAAACTGTAAAGCATGAGCCACCCTTAACAACTCTTAACATCACTATGTGGGGGTGTACCTATGATTGTCGCTTCAGCTTTATGTTGAAAATAAACAGGAATGATATTTCGGCTTCGTCGTATAACAATGATAATAATAACTACAAATGTGATTTAAGTAATTACACAACGAAACTTATTCCGACCCCTAAAATCACATATAAGCATGCAGGACCTAACCCAGATCACGAATTTCCAACTCATCTAACTTTACAGTACTGCAGTGCAGGTAAACATCCCGATGAACCCAGGTATGAAATTAATAAAACTGAAAGTGTAGCCGAATGCATCGATTATTTGACTGGTAATGAAGTTGGAACATACGCTGCATCTCTTCAGTTCGGTTCTGGCAGCTCGTTCAAACCTGATAACTACGGTGTTGCTACATATCACATGATTAATTCGGCAAACAAGCTATTCGATCATTGGGAGAGACACCATCGAGGGTTCCATACTGCCCTTAATGAACTAAGTATGAAAATGACTACCAATAATCTAAAACATTTGAAACCACCGCCGCCGCCACCGCCTAAAAAAAACTTACTCAAAAGAATTGTTATAGTAGTCGCTGGTATTGCTATTTGCGCTGTTCCTTTTGCTTTAGTTCTCGATACAGCAGCGGGTGCAGCAGAGGTGGTAGGTGAGGTCGTGGAAACAACCGTCGCCGAAGTCTCCGAAGTTGGAGCTGAAGTTGGTGCTGCAGAAGATGTTATAGAAACAACAGCTGAAGGATCAGTAGCCAGAAATGCAGCAGTAGGTTTTAGTAGGGCAGCGGAAGCAGATGCTGCCGTTGAACGTGCAGATGAACTTGCTGAAGAATACAGTTTGTTAAAAGAAGAGGTGGTTGGAGAGCGTTATTCAGGGTCTTTAGTACGGAGACTCTCAAGATTCTATAACAAAACAAAAAACCCGAATATGGCACGAATCCTTGCTGCTTTGAAGAGGACCCGCAGACCCAGAAAGAGGGATACGGATACGGAGGATAATTTAGGATTTTTTACGACGAACATGGTGAATATATTCTTTCTTCCAAGAGTGATGGACAATGTACATCAATCATTTACTAGCAAAACCTATTCAGATATTTCATCATATCTATCAGCCGCAAGTGAAAATCTCCATTTTCATTTTAACGATACATTACACAATAATTTTTTTACTGCAAACAAGTCAATATTAGCTAGTTTTACTGTTCATCAAGGACTGAATGATGATCAATTACTTGACAATGAAGATGACGACTTATATACTTCTGTTAAACAAAGTACATATAACACTTTAGCGGCAACAATAATAAGCGCTACCTTACAAATGTTTAATGTTGAAATATGTGATCCAAAACCTTCATTTTGCGGACAACCTTGTGATTCTGGTCATATTTATTGTCCAATAGTCGGAAATGATACTAATAACTGTGTAATAGCTGCCTCAGATGACCAAATAAAGGAACTTAAGTCTCTTCGAGATACCTTTGATATATGTTCAACAGATAATAGTACTGGTTGGGATATAAAACATAATCAAAATTGTGATATTAAACAATTCAAATGTCAATAATAGATCATAAATTACTCAAATGTGAGTTCAATATTTAATGTCATGTTGATTTTAGGGAAGAAGGGAAGAATTTTGTTATATTATTTTCAAGCTATAGAATAATTGTAATTTTTAATTAAAGAATTTCATTTTTAATATTTATACATAGTTTTCCTTTATTTTATTTATTATAATAAAGAAATGTTTATTTTTATTATTTTTTTTTTTTTTTTTTAAGCCCGACAATATGAGAATTCCGTAATAGCTGCTTACATTGATTTACCTATATGGTTTAGTTCAAATAGGGATATTATGTATACAATCTTTATAGGAATCATAACATAAGGAATGAAAAGGTGGTTTTTGAATAAAATGAAGAATGGATTCACGTGATATTTATATCGACCATGCCGCTTTAGCTCTCAAGACTGCTAAAAAAAAAATGTGTAAGCTTCCAAGAAATTTTGTAAAATAAGGCTAATTTCTAAATGCTTTTTTTTTACATTAATTTGGTCGAGAGGTATGCGTTTAAATTTTATTGTCGGCAAAGGTAATTAATTAATTAGAAATGCTTCATCAAATAATTTCTATTATAGGATTTCTTCGTACATTTTTGTTTGTCGTTCAATGAATTTCATGCGCATCATTGAAAATCCAACCAAATTTAGAAAGGTATTATTACAAGTTGTATTGTCTGAAAAACTATAAATTTCCTAATTCGTAAAATTTTTTTATCTCAATCTTCATTAAAAAAAACGTAAACAAAATGACCTCAATATTCCATACCGAACTTTCTAAAGATTTTTCATCAATTTTAAAGGATTCCGATGATTTCAACGTTATTATTCAAGTTGGTGAAGATCAAAATACAAAGGAATTTCGGGCACATTCAGTTATTTTAAGAGCACGTTCTCCATATTTTAAAGGTGCTTTTTCGTCTAATTGGATCGTTAAAAAGGATGATATGATCATGTTTAATAAGCCTAACATCCCTCCAATTGTTTTTGAAATGATTTTAATGTAAATGTATATTTTTCAAATTCCACAAATTTTTATCTTTTTCGTTTCGATGGAAATTAATAAATTAAAAATTTTCTTAATTTTAAAGATTTATTTATACAGGTGAAATTAATTTGACCAATCAATTAGGTGAAGATATTCTTGGACTATTAATTGCATCTGATGAACTATTACTTGACGATTTATTCAAACATGTTCAAGATTTCTTGATTGAAAAATGTACCAGTTGGATCCAACAAAATTTTATCCTAGTTCTTCATTCCGTATTTCAACTTGCTAGGTGCAAGAAATTGCAGGATTATTGTTTTGAATCAATCTGCGCTGATACAACACCGTTTATCACTTCAAAAGATTTTCCATCGCTTGATAAAGATATATTTTTTGGCTTACTTAAAAGGGATGATTTACATGTTGATGAAATTGTTGTTTGGGATAATTTGATCAAATGGGGTATTGAACAGACTCCCGGGTTGGTAATCAAGGGTAATGATTTAACTAAATGGAGCCAAGAAAATTTTGAAAGGTTGAAAGAAACGTTAAGTCAATTCATTCCACTTATTCGGTTCGTGGGAATTTCTCGTGCTGATTTTTTTGATAAGGTCCGTCCTTATAAAGCGGTCTTTCCTCAACAAATTTACGAAGAGCTTTATGAATTTTATTATAAAGGTACCATTTCAAAATCAACCGCTTTACCATCTCGCGCAGGATTACTGAAATCAACTATAATCGATCCAAAACTTGCAACTATACTAGCTAATTGGATTGATAAAAATGATTCAGCTGTTCATTCATTTAATAATAAGTTCAAGTTCAATCTGATTTATATAAAAAGTCGAGATGGTTCGAATATTTCAAATTTTAATAAATTGTGTAACGGACAAGGACCATTTGTAATATTTTTAAAAACTCGATCAAAAAAAATTTATGGGGGTTATAATCCAATTGGATATGCTTCAAGAATTGGTAAATGGTTGCCTTCTTCAGACAGTTTTATCTTTTCTTTTGAAAATGGTCAAGATATACATAATATGAAAATTGGCAGATCAAAAAATACAGCTTATTCTATATATGAGCATAATGATAAAAAATTCATTTATTTAATAACCATGGTGAACAAACTTTTTTTCTTAGTAACTATGAGAATTTTGATAATATTTTTAATCTTAATTATGGCCAGGCTGTTGCTTTGCCTGTTGAAGAAATTAAAGTCTTTAGTATTTCTAAGAAATAATTTAAGTAATTCGAATACGTCTACCTATATTTTTAATTTGCAGACTCATTGACCATTTCTTTTAAACTTTTTTTTTTTTGATATATGTTTTTGTTTCAATTTTAATTCTGAATAAATATTAAATAATCCTTCGATATGATGTTTATGTTTTGTTCACAATAAAACCAATTATAATTTTTTATTATTAAACATACCGCTTTTTTTTCAGTGAGCGTTTTAATATAATAGCTTATTTCTTTTTAATGTGGATTTCAAAATTAATCAAAATTTAACCATTCAATCTTCGATTAATTATAGTACATAATTTTTAGCTTAAAGAAAAGAATGGAAAGCTTTCTTAACCTTTACTTAGAAATGAAAGGCGTCGATGAGTCTTCTTTTTTCGAAGCGATCGAATATTTTAATCTTTCCATCTTTATGATTAACTTTATTTCTTTAAGTTCCTCTTTCGGTTTGATCGCGTTGAATTGCGCCTCAGGTCACCTAGTTTCATTAAATTTCTCGTAATTATTTTTTTTGAATTTTAAATTTTAGCATACAGTATTACTTTTTTTAAAATATTTTTACATAATTGTCCTGGTTCTGTTAATTTGGAAATTATCGGATTTTTAGTTAGACTTCGTAGAACATATTGGCCAAAATTTCCTCTGTGTCCTTGTGAAAAAAAATGATGGGTTACCGCCTGCAAGAAATAATTTTAACACGAACATTCCATATGCATTTCGTTTAGAATTAAATTTGTAACGAAATAACGAAACAATAAACGCTAAATCTTTGCGCATAATTATTGTTATAGTAAGTTAAAAATAAACCCGAACTATAATCACAATATGGTTACACAAAATGAAGGGAGCAAGAGAAAAACATAAATCGTTCTTTCACTTACAAGTATGGCTGAGGCAGGAATTTTTTTTTTTATTTAGCTGTGTGCAATATTGGAAATAAGGTTCGATTTTATTTTATTTTGAAAATCTTTTTATAAATTAGATTTTTAAGTTCTTTACGATTTCTACGGTTGCGCCATTTATAGGATGAAAATACGAAAGAAAATCTGCTTCATTCTGCGCTCTGTAATAGGCTTTAAGAGAAGATAGACTGTTTGAACTCGGTTTGAATTAAGTTACTAAACAGATTTTTTTTTTTAATATAATTCCTGATAAATGAAAATTAATCTTTAACAATCATGGATAGTTCTGCAAAATACCATTTCTTGTTGGAAGATGGTAAAACATTTTAATACTCACTGAATTAAGGCAATATGAAACGGACGTGAACTTTTTATTAATTTATCATATGACGAGTATATTACATTATAAAATAAAAAATTATAGATCTTACATCATGATCATTATTTTATTTGTAACTTCGTTTCTTTTTTTCTTAATTCTCGATTTTCTATTCTTTTATTACTCAGTTTTATTATTTTCGTAGTTTTAATTAATTAGAATGTAGAGCGCCGACGTTGAGGCAACACTGATCAATTATATATTATTAAATAAATATAGTGTCAACATTACTCCATTTTTACTCAATAAAAACTTTCTGCTTTTAAAATATTTATAAAAATACGATCTGGTTACAATACTATTATTTCATAAAATTTATCGTTACACCACTATTAAATTTAATGCTGTTTTAACTACTACGTTAAATATGAACAAAAAAAAAAAAAATTCTTTTTCGAAATGGATTTTCCCAAATATAATGGAACTTGTCATCCTAATAAATATGTCAAACACATGCGTGCATATTGTAAAGTAAATCGAATTACAAATGAACAAGACATACTTGAATTATGTACTTTAATGATAGATTCTAATATAACCATCCCAGATGATATTAATAATATAGATAAACTTGTCAATACTCTCAAATCTCACTCAACTTTTAACATTTTTAAAGACTCCTGTAAGGGCAAATTACAAAAAATGAAATATATTCCTGAAAAGGAGGACAACTTTACCGCTACGTTTTTTGCAAAATTTCGCACACTTTGTAATGATGCCGAAATTAATGATCCCGATGAAATAAAAAAACTCCTTATTAATACGTATTCATCAAATAAATTCTTTAAAGATGAATTTGAAAAAATGTCAGATATTATGAATTCAAAAAATCAAATTGATGAAACCTTTAAATTATTTCATGAGATTGCATGTGATGAGTCAAATGTAATTAAATATGGTTCTTTGATAGCCTTAAAAAATGTTACAACTGGTAGATATTTATCGAGTTGCGAGATAAACTATATGAGCACTAAAGCTCAAGTGGTCAGTTTAATAAAGTCTCTTTAAAATGATAATATTATTCAAACAATATTATTTAAATACACATTTTAATTTTAGGTATTTGCTAATGATAAGCTACCAAATAAAAACGCTTTATGGTTTTTAAAAAATTGTAGTGAAAAGGAAGTACCTTATAATGTGGAATCCAGATTTAAATTAATGCATAAAGAAACTAATATGGAATTATATGCAAGTAGAGATGATAAGTCTCCGACAACTGGACAACGTGAAGGTACGGTACGGTATCTACAATATATATAACAATTGTGTATAAATTTAATAAAATTTTTTTATTTTTATAATAGTATCCTGTCGTAAAAGTAGTATTGTTGAATGTTAATTCATAAATCTGAAACCTAAATTCAATACTTCATTATATCTTCGAGCAAATGATATAATTAATTTAAAGGTTTATAACATACGTTATAATTATAATAGAATTGTACGTAATCATGATTTCACTTTTACTATTGGAGATGAAGTTTTTTACGAAGTGATTGGTCATTATGATAAGATTGGTGCAAATGATGCGGTATGTTTAAAAATTGGGTTTCTTTTTCTTCTATTTTAAATATTAATCAAAATAATTTTTTTACTTGTCAGTGGTGTATAGAACTTGTTGAAAATATTTAGAAAGATAATCTTGGATATTAGCTTTAAAGTTTTATTCGAAATCATTTATGTGATATTATCTTTATGTTCAATTTGTTTTAATAAATTATGTGATATATAAATGAAATTCAAATTATATTATTTTTACCTGGATCAATATATTGTAGTATCAGTTGTGAGTCAGGTGACTTTATGAAAATATCGAAAATTACAGAAAATCAATAAAAAAAAAATAATAATAATAAATAAACGGAAGGTTTGTGTAACTCATAAAATTTGGATGATTTGGACATTATATATTTAATCTTAGTCTGTTAATCAACCTAAATACAATATTTTATACATAAAATATACGATAAAAAAATATATCATTCACTCGTTCTCTTTTGTTCATTATTCAGTTTGTCCCAACCAGGTTCATGAGCCACCATATCGAAACTTCTACATCAAACATATAAAAGAATTTCAAAGCCGACTATAATAAGCGTTTTTATTCTTCAGCATGACAATGGATGGTAATTCTCTTGTTTGCTACCAAGGACGGTTTAAAATAGGAGGACGTCTATCAAGATATTTCCAAATCACCACTTATCATGTTAAATACGTATCGAACAACTGAAAAGGTATTTATAATGTCAAATCGAAAATGGTTGTCTATTTCAGGAACCTTTGAAGCTGTATCATCGAATGTTAATTTAATAAATATTTTTTGGTCCAGTTGATGATTCTGTATCGACCAAAGTATTTATTGGTCCAATTTTATCTCGGTGTGTAATAAGAAAAGTTCTCATATTCCTATCAATTTGACAGATGGATCGGGCTTTCAATACGTTCCTACACCGTGTGGTGAAGAGACTAAAAAGTTTGAGCTACTATAAATGTGAAAGGAAATAGGTAAATACAATAAATGCAATGCGTTTAAATAAAAGAAATTCATAAGTCGAAATAATATATTTTAGGTTTACTTTGGCTTAATAATTTTTTTCATATTTAGAAAATAATCTCGCCGGAGATTTAAGGTCGAAACTACAAGACGACTTATTTGAAGTTCAAGGATCGAATTCAAGTAGTGTCCAATCACAACTTCTTTATTCGAGAATCTAATTATTTCAAAACTAAATAAAAAAATTATATCTTTGTTCCAGAAAAATAGAAATCATTATTTAAGTTACCTGGATAAAAGAGTTGTTCTGATTTTCGAGTATTATTTTTTCGTATCCCAAAACGCCAGACCGAGCATCCTCAACACTCAAGAATTGCTCGAAGAAATTACGCCACGCTAATAATAGACTGAAAAGAAAATTTTTTGACTTACTGTGTTTCTAATGCAAGAATGTGTAACCGAATAAACGGTTTTTTTTATTTATTTACCGAGGTTTGAGTTCTGTGCATGCCTAATTAAATAATGGTGCGTCTCTGAGATATAAAGCAGATTCATCATTGAAGCATCTACGAAAAATAAATAATAAAAAATAAATTTACACCCTAAGAGATCTTGCTGAATATGCATTATATTGGAACCGATTTTAAATTGGGTTTTCTTGAGTTACAAGCTATTTTAACCAACTTTAAAAAATCGAATGGAACCGACTCCTGACCGGTTCCAAGAGTTTCCAATAGTCGGCTTCATGAATTTACAAACTAAAAAGAAAATGACTGTTCCGGCTCACTAAAAAAACAGATTAGAGAAAGAAAAGTGAAGTAGTATTTTTTCTTCTAGTTAATTTTATTAAAACTAATGACCATCTTTAATTTCTCCTTTCCTTGCCCCAAATTTAACTTAACGCTCAAAGTTCTAATTTACTTAAGAAGAGTCGATGCAGAACCGAAGTGGAACCGATAGAAACGTCTCCATCCTACGCATAACCATATTTTTGTGAACTTCATTCCGTGTACGTTCTAAATAAAAGGAATAAAAGACCAATTTGTGTAATTAATGGGTTAAAAGAATGTTTAAGCAAACTCATCTTAGATAAAATAAAATGAAGTTCATAATTGCTTGGTATATTTTGATACTAAGAAACATGTAAAATAAATTAAGATTATACCAACTAATTTAATTTTTTTTTTTAAAGAAGATATATAGCATTGCGGGATTTGTTCTTTTCAAATGTTCGATCATCCGTTTCGGGTAAATAAGACCGATTCGATCACTAGCTTCTTCGTCAATAGGACCTGAATGTTTGTCGTCGCGAATATTCAACTTACAGCAGTTTGAAGTAAATTTTCTGATTTTGAAGTCTTAATAGCTAATCAGAAAAAATGTGTTTTCTTGTTATAATTTTAATCATAGATTTCTTTTTTAATGCTGTAATAATTTATGGAATATTATTATTATTGTTAATTATGTAGTACAAAATATTTTGTTTGTAATCATGACGTAGGTAATCTAATTTAGTATAAATCTGCAAAACTGGTTAAAACTCGATTTTTTTGTTTATTTTCTCACAAAAAAAAAAAAATCCTTCTAAACAAACTATGAACAACAAATAATATGTTATCACAAGTCCTTTTACTTACAAATAATGCTTCTTACATATGGACGATGAAAATATGTCTCAAAAAGTCCGTGATGTTGCCCAGTTGAAAAGCAAAAAAGTAAGTATAATATGTATATGATTATCAGATGAGGGCAGGTTCTTTCTTGTACCTATTAAATTCATTTTAATGGGAGTGGTAAAACTTATCTTACCCTTACAAGTTAGTCAGAAAGTTTTAAATACAAAAACTTTATATTCGGAGCATCCAGCCATCCATCTTAAATTTTTTTCTGATTATTCTTTTGTGAATTATTTTCTCATTCAAAATTTCTTTTATATAGACCGATGTTCTTCAAGCTAATATAACTTTGGAGCCCTTCGTCACCAGCATCGTCATCGTCCAATAATGGAAAAAAAGAAGTACAACAGATTTAATAAACACTTCATCTATAATTCTTATAATTATCCCAGAAATGACATGCTTTGTTCCTGACGAGGATGTACCGTTGAAAGCCAATGGTTCCTTGAAGTTATAAAGTCAGCCGTACATACTTTTGACAAGGATTCTATTGAAATAGGTTCTTCCCGCTCGTATAAAAGCTCAAAACATCTACGAATAGATTATGAACAATATAAAAAAGTTCCTAGGGAAAGTGACTATGATGCAGAGATGTCTCGAATCCTGCATAATTGGTTAGCAAAGGTACACGGTTTTGAAATAACTAGCCAATGGCACTTGGAAGAGTCGTTAACGATGGGAATTACCATCACTATTATAGTGATTTGGTAATAAAGCGAAGTGATAATCAAAATCCTCTTGCTGTGCTCGAATTTCTGGCAACAACACCTCCATCAATCTTAAAAGAGCATTTTCGAAAGGGTTCTTGATTATGCAGAACTCCTTCGTCCGTCGGAGATTTGGGTTGTACATTTTTCACGCGAAAATAATATTACCAAAGATCCATATCGGCCTTGCAGAAAAATGCTCAACAGGAAACTATATGTTGTACCTGGCACGATAAACAATTCAAAAATCTCCAAATGAGTTCAAAAAATTTAGATTACTTGGGACAATATCAAATGATATTAGTGGTCTGAATATCAGATTGTTAAAAAGGTGGATGGAAGGAGAAAAAGATAAGGATGGAAATTTTGAACAATTTCGATTGGGACTTACTTCTTCAGCAACTGATTACAGTACGGTAAAAAAAATCAGAGATGCGTATAAATAGGGGAGGTACAGAAAGCTTTTAATAGATGAATTTTTCATTTTCATTTTCTTCGAATTTGATTGTTGACTTATTTATTTTTATTTATCATTCTGTATTTTATCATTATCTTGTATTTATATTTTTTAATTGTATTATTAATTTAAATAAAGATGTTTAGTAAAATTTTAAATTACATATTTTTAAAATGTTAAACGAAACTTTGTTGTTATATTGGTTTTATCTTTTTTGCGCAATATTGAGTCGGATTTTCTCCTGCCTTACAAGATCACACCATTCATATGGGCTTTTTTTCTCTCGCAAATTTGGGAAATTCCGCAAATTGCGCAAAGCATACCAACAGATTGATGCCATAAAATAATCATTCATTGTACGTCAATATGACCATACGCCAAGATTATCGAATTTTCAATCATCTAAAGATATATCATTATATATATTTGTTATACGGTAATTAAAAAACCAAGGAAAAACAAATTATAATATTTTGTCAACCTACCCGAGTCTGGGTATTGTAGCAGTATCTCTTTGAATTGGATTAACTAGATTCAATGCACTCTCGGAGACTGTGTAATTGGTTGTTTCGTTCCCCTACCCAAGAACATAGAAGAAATGTCCATGCAAGTGGGTTATATGTTCCATTGTATCAGAATCTAACGTAAAGCAAGAATTAAACACTCTCGCATACATAAATCAATTGCTTAATAAACAATAACTTACTTTTGAAAAGATGTTGACGGTGGCATCTCTCTTTCGATTAGATTGTAAGCATTTTTGTGTGCATCCTACGGTTTATTTATATCCATCATTTTTAATTTTAAATACATTCAAGAGGGTATATCCATGACATTAATAAATGATGATGTTCAGCATGGAGCTTCGCCATTGACCCGTCTGCGACATAACCAAAAAGTACTATTCCCATCCATCATCCTTGTAGGTTGGACGGTGAGTCTTTCCATTAATAGTATATACTTCTCGCACAACGGCATCAGGTGTATTCGGTTCTTGGGATTCGGTTCCGGTAGTCTTTCACCATTCGCCTTTTGATAGTTGACTTTCCATGGAAGTGTTAGTGGCCATGCTTTTGAGCCGATAGGACAACCACTTATATTGTTCAGATTTGCATTATAGTGAACATCGCATCCTTTTTTTATTTTAGAGGTTCGCATTTTGATGATTGGCGCGTACAATCGCCTTTCCTTTATTTTGAAGTTTAGGAAGGAAGGCAAGTGTAAAACAGCAGCGAAAAAAATAAATTTCATTTTGTAAGTAACCTGACAGTTTTGTTCTTTTTACGAATTTCACATCATGATCTTTATGTAAAAATTTTCCTTAAAATGGAATTGATGTAGAGTGTAGTCTTAAATCAAAATTTTCTAAAAATAAAATATCACGTTTTTAAATATAAAAAAAAAAAAAAAAAAAAAATTAAATAAAATAATCTGCGATTTTTTAGACCTTATGTGGTGACGTTTTTTCTATTTATGAATTTCATGTGATTACCATCTATTAAGAAACTAGTTCTACAACCTTTGCAATTTTTATTTTTTTCTTTCATTAATAATTATTTAATAAAGGTTTCTTTTAAGAACTCTTGCGTTGTATCATTATTTGATATGATCGATTTGTAGAAATAACTAAAGAAATAATCCTTGATTCATATGATATTTTTCGTAGAACATTTGGGATATTTAGACAATAGCTTTTTTATTATGTGATTAATGTATGAGCTTGCAATATGTTATACAATCTATACTTGCCGTCTAAAGAATAGAATGATATTTTTAATAACATTTAAAGACATTGTACGCATCTTCTTTTTTGATAAAAATATAAGGATTCATAGTATATATATATTTAATTTATTATTAAAAGTAATTTGCGCAAAAATTATTATCAAAGTAATTCTTGATGTTCATCTTCAAAATCTTGAGCGATGAAAGTCCCAAAAATCACGTAACATATCATATCTGCATTTATGGAATGGCAAATTTGAATTCGTTTAAGAAGATTGCGTTGAGGTATTGGAATCAAATGCGGACGTCCAGAATGATGCATCGTCCAAAATCATGAGAATCTCTTGTAACAGATTTCGTCCTCTGTCTATAAAGTTTTCATCTGTGGTTACCATACAATCTTGTCATTACATATTGATTTCTATATACCCGAAATTAAAAAGATTATTCATTCGCTTTCACTAGTATATCGTCGAATAAGTAAAAGAGGATTTTAGTTATTATTATTGAGCATTTCAATAAGCATGGCATAAATTCTGCAACCAATTCCAAATAATCTATTGAAAAAATTTTTGTTTGGGCGAATTTGCTCAAAAATAAAAACAAGTCTTTTATTTTCAACAAATAATGTTAGGACCTGATTACGTCGTCGAAATTCGGATGCTCTTACCTGAAGTCTAACAAAAGCTGTTATCTGCAAAAATCGTTCGTAAGCACACTAGTCGTGTAACCAAGGAATTTCTTTTGATCCAAGATGCAATAATAACCATCTCAAGAATAATGAGAGACGACGACACAAAATTTTGAAGATTTTAAAACATTTTATGGTTGACCGATCGAAGAAAACCCATCGAAATCGAAAGGTTTCGACTTTTGTCAAAATGGATTTGGGTTTTGTCACGCAACTTTAGTTGGAACATATTTTTTTTTAAAAAAATATCATTTTTGAATGTTTCGTCTTCCATACTTTTTGCATCAAGTAAAAAAAATAAGAATGTAAAATGTATTGTGACGCGATAAACTTTAAAAAAAACCGCGATAAATAAATCGCGTGAACTATGATTTATTGATCCGACATTTTTCTATAAATTTACATTGATCAGCACTGCGAATTTTTTTATCGTCGTCGTTTATGCAAGTCACATCAGTTACATCATTCATTGTTGTTGACTACCTTTCTCACTATTACCGGGGGTAAGGATATTCTGTCTCCTTATAAAGTTGGCCTAGATACTTGCGGGGTTGCAGCTTATCTTACATAGTCACTGGTTGATAGCCCCCCCGAGGTTGGATTGAAAGGTTATGAGGTTTTATTTGCTTCGCAAGAAAATTTATTTCATGACACATGTGAATGGCGGGGTAAACACACCAAGCAACTATTCAACAAAGATAACAAAAGGTGTAAAATGTGTAAACACACATAAAGGATGATTTATTAATAGCGGGTTGGGTGTGAATATTATAAGTGGGGAAAAAACAAAATATATTTGGCTAAATTATTATCGCAAATAAAAATAATAACTGGTACTTATTTAAAGAAAAACAATTAAAATTTGTGAAGTTCTACTATATATTATTTCTAAAAGTATACAAATTAAAGATCTTAAAAAATATTTGGGATTGTCAGAGTAATCTTTGATTTTTCTGGGCAAGGTTTATCCCAATTTGAAAGTCAACCTATATTCGCTGAGAAAGTTCATAGTATTTTTAAAAAATCTTAAAAAAACTTCAGAATATCACAAGGAAATAGTTCGACAGCTATTTGTTCAAAAGAAATGTATTCCCTAATAAAAAAAAAAAAAAAAAAAAATAGTCCAAATTCCGCATGTCGGAATTGATTTAATTAGAGGTTTTAATGGGCAAAAAAAAAAATACTGCATGTTTGATTAAATTGATTTGATTCTGCTGATTTATGTTTCAGAATTGATTTTGAATCAAATTGCAAAAAGTTTACTTGACAAGAGTTATTTCCTTTTCCTAAAAAATTCAATTCAAAGTTTTCAACTACGATTAATAACTCTGCTTCACCACAACTTATATAACTTATATAATTCATTTCAATATCCAGCACTTCTCAAGCTTTTCATCTACATGAACCGGCTTTTTGTCACCTGGATCACCCGCATTAAAACGGTTTGATCCGGTTTAGGATTTGATAACATTTGACAACCCGTATCACCCGTTTATGGGTTTATGAGAGGCATTCATGAGATTCATCCAGAACATCCATTGAATTTTTTTCAATTCGTTGCCCTACCCGTTCACTTAACTCTTATCAATCATTAGCTTTCAATGAATGATTAACTTTCCGAAATATTCCTCTTGACGCACATTCAGACGATGATAACAATTCCGTACCTTTGTAGTAATAGCATAAATAAAACGTTGAAGTTAAATAAACCAAACTTAAATATAGTTGGGTAGTTATTAATGAAATTAAAAAAGCATTTTATTATAATTATAAAAAAAAATTAATATGTTATGACCCGAAATAGCCAGTGTACACGATATATAAAATGATGCGGACACCAGGATGATAAATATGGAGATGGATCCAATCTCTACTTCTCTACTTGATAGTCGATTAAATATCTTATATTATCCAGTAAAAATAATTAATACACGTTCATTGTGATTGTGCCAAATTTTACGTATCGATATATTTTTAATCGTACCTGATATCCAAGGTACATCTGTAATCAAAATGAATATGCCTAAAGTAATTAATTAAATAAAAAGATTATAATATAATATATTTTACAAAAGTCCTGCATGAAATACAGGTAATATTTTGAAGCGCATGTCATTATATTATATCGGAAATATAAATGTTTGTCAGACATGAAGTTATACATGTTGATTAATCAACATAATTTTTTAACTAATGGATTTTTATTTTTGTTGATTTTTAAAAAAGGATTTTCTTATAGAATTTGGACACGAAAATGTGAAATTTTTCACCTAAAATGACGTAAGGGTGCAATGTAAAATTATTCAAATTTATTGAGTATTGGATATAGTCGTTGGTGCAACTTTGGATTCTGCTTTAGTGAGTATTTAAAATTCGTCATTTATTTCTTGGCGATGATATTTTTTAAAAAAAAAGTTGTTGCAGCAATATACTATGCATCATGATTCATTACAATCTTTTTCACCTAATATTAACAACGAAGGATATCCCATCATCAAAGGAATGTTTAATGGCCTCAAACGAACATAAATAATAAGCAAGCTAATGGGATTCTGTAAATTAAAATTCTTTGAAGGACAAGGAAGAGTAACTTACAATTACGCAATAAGTAATTATCCGCTAGTAATAGTTTGGATTTGATTTCTTTCTTTTAGGAAATTTAAAAGGGAAGTTGTATGAAAAAACGAAAATGAATTCTTAATGGATTTACAGAAGTACAGTAATTATAATTAATAATTTGAAACTATTATAAAATAGACGGTATGACAGATGAAAGTGAGTCATGTTTATGAATTCAATCAAAGTATAAAACTGTACATTACTAATTATAGAATTATCTACTGTATCTATTTAATTATTTTATCCTTTTTTAGAAGATTGTAAAATGTCTAAAATGTCTTCTGCTTTAAATTCACTTAGCGAAATTATTGAGATATGAGAAAAAGAAAGAATCAACGTAATCAGGTAGAATTTTAGGAAAATTAATGAGATGATGACCAAAACTTTCAAGAAAATATAATAGACATTATGTTATTTATTACTTTCTTTATCAAGACAAAATCGAACTGTAGTGCTTTATAATGGATCATCACACATCGAATTGGAACATGCCGAAGTAATTTAATTACCGTATTTACCATATGACCTACTTATTAATTATCAGGATAATTTTAAAAGATATAAGAAATGGATAGTAATGTCATACCTTCGACTCTTACAAAATTAGCTACTTGAAGGTATAATTGTTCATAATAATTTTTTATATTTTTAATTATTTTTATTATAGAGAGGTAACCTGGACGTTAAAAAGAATATGAAAAATAATATAAACAAAGTTATAATACTACCCTAATAAAGAGGAACAATGTTCATTTAATTATTATAAGTGATGAATAAGAAATAGATACATTAATGCTACTAATGAGATTTATAATCATGAAGCGATTCAAGAACCTAGAAAAAAAAATAATACATCAAAAAGGGCAAGATATGGAAATAAAAAGATGATCGATCCGAAAAAAAAATATCACAGAAAGATAAAAAAAATAACGTTACCTTATACTTCAGAAGATATTGAAACGAGTTTAATTGAGCTAGTCTCGTTCAAAAAATTAACTACGATGATACTAGAAAAGGTAATTGTTAAATCATTTCGCATTTAGTTGGATTGAAATTGTATAAGAAGCATTAACACATTTCTTTAATACTTGCCTGTCAAAGTGGTTTGAGATAAATTTGCGAA